TTCCTGGGAAATACAGGTTATTACAAGTTTCTGCTTTACAAAATGACTATGTGCTGTGGCATTTAGAGTGAGCCAGGAAAATCCTGGGCCAGCTTAAAGATTTAAGAAAATGGCAGAAAGTAGAAATTTTTTTTTTGGTACCGGGGATCGAACTTGGGACCTTGCGCTTGCAAAGCAAGCGGTAGCACCACTGAGCTAAATCCCCGGCCCTGAAAATGTAGCTTCTTAAAAGGTGAGATGGAAGGGTGCAGATACATTTTTGGATTCATTTATTTAGCCCAGGAACCATCCAGCCTTCTCTGAGAGCATCCTTCTTAAAACCCATTTCCAAAATCGGCCTTCTGAAGTCTGCCTGGTAGTACAGTCCCACTTCCTGGGCCGTAGCTGATTCCAGTCTGGCTGGGGCTACACAATTCCATCTTCTCTGGAAATCTGAGATGGCAGTGAAAAAGAGCCCATCTCTGTTGACAATGCAATTGAAGCATGTCAATCAACTCAGGAGCTATGATATATCTTTGGCCAATGGGGATTGTACAACAAAGAAAAGAGTTCTGAAAAAACAGAGGAAGGAGCAGATGTGACGGGTGAGGCAGATATGAGAAAAAGAGAGAGAAGATGCTTTGAGGTCCCAGTAGCACTCGCTTCCCGGTTCCAGTATCCTACGGAACCCAGTCGCATTTCTTCCTTTGTAATCTATAAACAACCTCTGGTTCTTGATAGTAAACTCAGGCTTTCTTTGGCTTAAGATCAAGTGAGCTTCTACTACAAACAGGCTAAGACCAGAGGTGTCTGGGCCACTTTGGCATCCAGCGGCTTACCAAGGCACAGTGCAGGTCCTGGTTAGAGATGTGTGCTCCTGGATGATGGAGAGGTTCCTCAGGTCCAGAGGAGGGGGCCGTGCTACAAGACAGTGCACAGCATGTGCCATGGTTAGTTCCCAGGCCAGAATCTGAAGACTGGGAAACAGTGACATCCCACTTTTCTGGCACACCAAATCCAATTTACTAACCAGGAAGCCCTGCTGATGAGAATGAATTTCACTACCCTACCTTTCCCTGACTCCCTGGGAGTAAGAACAATTATCAAACAAATGGTCACTTTCCTTGTAGGAGCTAACAAAAAGAGGCCATGCATTTCGTCAACACACATTTATTGAGAACTTACTGCCTGTTGGGCATGGTTCTAGATGTTGGAGACACAGATGAACCAAACAGACCCAAGTCTCTGCCTGGAGGAACCCCATTGCCTCCCTCACACTCGACATGTGTAAGAGGCAGAGATGATCACCAAGTTCTAGTCTTCTCAACTCCAGACCACCGTCTACTTGATGGATCTCCAGCCTAGAACATTCTTCCCTGTGTCTCTGTCCGGTTACTCCTCTTCACATCCCAGCTCACTGTCCTCTGCATAGGGATGCCTTCTTTGAACTCCAGACAAGATCAGAGCCCATATTACAGGCCTCATGTGTTCCTGCACTTAATTCTTCCGGGCATTTCCCCCAGTGTGTGATGAAACACTCATCTGCGATTATTTGACTCAGGTCTAGACTGTGGGTCAGGACAACAGGGTTTTGTTTATCTGCTCACTGGAATGGCCTGGGTATCTAGAGAAGCCCTTGGGGCCCATCTGGCTGCCCTCTATCTCCTTCTGCCACTAGATCATGGTCTAATTGCCCTCTATGTCACCAGAGTGACAGGACAGTGACCTTCCCAATGGCCAATTGTTTTCCAAGTGTCTTGGGGCTAGGAAAGAGGCTGGGCCTGAAAGGGGTATGGATTATGCAGTCCCTGCTCTCTCATGGTGGCACAACACCTCACTGTCCGCTTCACCCACCAGCTACCTACTGGCTTCACTGCCTGCCCTCTCCTACCTCTGAGTCCATCAAATGCCTTCTCTCTTTAGGGTCCTATACAACTGCACTGTTCAAATAGTGACAGTGTAGTTATCTACACCAGTATATGTATATCATATCTATACCAGTACATGCACTGAAATTAAATAAAAATAAAGTTTAGCTACTCAGTCACACTCGTCACGTTTCAAATTTTCAACAATGATGTTTCCATCATCATATAAAGTTCTGTTGGATGGTACTGCTATACAAAATTAGTAGAGCAAGATAATAATGCCCATCTTAAAGTTATAGGCTCCTGTGAAATTGTTTCTGACCAGAATGGACAGTTATTTCCTCTACACCTCATAAGACAGAGTCTGTTCTCTTTTTTAGTACTGACTTTATGATCCTTATTGCTCTTCCAGACTGAAGAACTCTCCTCGCTCTATTCCCCAGCCAATGCCTAGCACAGCACTACACACATGACCAATGCCCTGACTCAAACCCAAGGGAATGTGACCTGGGGGATTAGGCACGAGGAGGGGCTTAGGTAGCAGCTTTGAGCATGGCCACCTGAAGTGGTAGTTTTTCCAAAGAGCAGTGAAAGGTGGGGAAAGGCCCAATGGGTTGTCAGAGATCCCAGTCGTCATACCAATGCTTCCTGGTGACTACACAGCCTACTGGGCAGGTGTGGGGTCGGCAAGCGTGAAGTGAAGAAGCCACTTTGCCCTGCATCTTCCCTTTCCCTCTTATTCTATCTCCCTGTCTGTCCATGCTGCCTAGCAGACCAGGAAGGGTGCCTGGCAGTAGCTGTACAGAAGCCACAAGTTGCCCTGGGCGCACAAGAGTCAGACTGCCGTGTAAGTGCTCCCCCATCCCCAGCCACCTCTGCTCAGGCATTGTAGGACATTAATCAAAGGCCGGAAGCCTGGCACTGATTCTATTCAAGTGTTGTCTAAACGAGGATCCATTCTGATCCATCCTCACTTATTCCTGGGCCTTTGTTAGGACGCAGTCAAAGAGCCCCTGGAATAAAACTAGGTTTGTAGGCTGCGTCTGCAGGACCACGGCACCCTAGAAGTCCCCTAACTCCCTCGATCATGGCATTATGGAGTAGCAAGGTGCTCCACCCTTCCCATTCTATCCCAGCCACTTCTTTCTTGCCCTTGTACTTTTTAGCCCTTTGGGATTTTCTCTACTGATTCCTTCCCGAGGAAGCTCAGGCCTCCCGAACAGAGCAGGCCTGGTCAAGTGCCTTACGTTTCCTTTGAGGCTTGAGATCTCGATTCACTGGGGGAGGTTCCAAGTCTGCAGGTAGTTCAGGCAGTGGGCTGGAGATGCCTCCTGAGCTCATTGGGATGTAATCATCCTGGCTGCAGTGGGGGGCAAGACCAGAGGCTGTGGCCCGGGGGCTCATGGGTATGTAGCTGTCTTCAGCACTGCTTACAGCTGTGGGGTACATCAGGGAGCACCTGCAAGGCTGCACAAGAATAGGTACAGGTTGGGAACTGCAGACCAGTTGTGGAAACCACTAAAAGTGGGTACTATGGTTTGGATTCCAAATTGCCCAAGAATAACTCTGAACTTCCCCAGGGAAGTAGGACAAGCCTGTGACCAAAGTTCTGCCTCTGGACCCGAGGTGTGAGTATAGGTGCCAAGTCTCCTAGACCGCATTTTGGAAGACTGAGGGTTATGAATTTATGCAAATGCCTTAAATCCAACATTGGTTTAACTGGCAACCCCAAGTGGACAAATGTCTGGACCATCAGAATTTACAGGATCTTTCTGGAACAGCACAACTAGGAATCTCCAAACAGTTTGGAAAAGTCTGCACAGAGCCAGAGTAATGAATCTCAATAGAATTGAAATAAAAACACACATGGCACCAGGTATTTTTGCTTAAATGGAAGCTTAAAGCAACCCAAGTGCCAAACTTACCAGATTTAAACTAAGCCGCTTGTCTCGGTGTCTTAAGGATCGGCTTTCTACATCAGCTGCAAGAAACAAGATGGACAACATCAATTGAAACTCGGGTCCAAGTCTCTCTACACTCCAAGGCCTGTGCCCAGCTCCAGAGAGGCAGAGGAACACAACACACCATTTCCATACAAGGGCTCATTTTTGTGTCTAGCTGGGCAACCAGAACACATTCCCTAACAGACAGAAAAGCAGACCAGATTTGGAAGAAGTTTCTATTCGATGGCTTCATTTCTCTCTGAATGAGGAAGAGACATAGCAAGCGTCTTAGTCACTTTCTTGTTGTGGAGACACTATACTCGACACCTGCAACTTAAAGAAGGAGATGGTTATTTTGGCTCACAGCTTCAGAAGTCTCAGTGTTGCATGGTTGGCCAGCTCCCGGGCAGGAATGGCACGGCAGAGGGGCACAGTGGAGAAAAAGCTGCTCACATCATGGTGGCCAGGAAGCAGAGAGAGAAGGGAGGAGCTGGGGAAGGAGGCAGACCCTCCCAGGCCACACTCCAGTGACTCACCGCCACCCAAGCCCCACCCCCTGAACCCATGAGGCCTTTGGGGGACATTCTAGATCTAAACCATAACAGGACGTAATTACCAAATGCTCGTTTCATTTATTAAGGAGCTTAGAGATGCGGCAGGTAGACCTGGGAGGAGGGTAAAGGAAGTCTGAACTATCCCTTGCAGTGAACAGCAAAACAAGCTGAACAAAGCAGCACTAGCACTGTGGAGCAGCACTGAGGGCCCCGCTGAGGGCCCCGCTGAGATCTGTGATCATGATGCAGTGACTGATCCTCTGCAGCACTAAACAGCTACTCAGATACTGGTGTGGCAAGACAAGATAGCTGGACAAAACCAGGATTAGAAACTGATCAGATAGGTGCGACAAACACTGAGACATAAAAATTTAGAATAGCTGTTGAACCGAAAGAGAAAACATCCAGAAGTATACTGAATACTTCCTAACTCATTTCATAAAGGCTAGCATTATGCCAAAACCAGAGACATTATAAGAAGACTACAGAGCAATATATCTCACGAACATAAATCTTAAATTCCTCAACAAAATATTAACAATAAATTTAATTCAACAATATAGAAAAATAACTATACACCATAACCAAGTGGGATTTATCCCAGGTATGCAAGGATGACTTGACATTTGAAAATCAACTAACATAGCCCATCACATCAAAAGGCTAAAGGAAAATTCACGATCATCTCAATAAATGGAAAAAGAGCATTTAACAAAATCTAAAACCCATTCATGATTTTAAAAACTCTCAGTAAACTAGGAATGCAGAAGTTCTTCAACACGATGAAGAGTATCTACTCAAAAACCCCTGTAGCTAACATACTTAGCAGTGAGAAAGTCAGGAGTTTGCCCCTAAAGCCAGAAATAAAGCAAGAATGTCTCTTCTCTACACTGCTTTTTAACACTGCACTGGAAGTACTACTTAATTGAAGAAGGTAAGTAAAGGAAATAAAAGGTAGACAGACTTGGAAGGAAGAAATGAAACTGTCATTTTTCACAGATGACATGACATGTAGAAAATTTGAAAGAATCAACAAAGAACCTCCTGGAATAACAACTTATTAGTGCACGGTTGGAGGATATAAAGTTAACATCAAAAGACAATCACTCTCCTATATACCAGCAATGAAGAAGTGGAATTTGAAATGAAAAATCCAATGCCATTGGCATTGGTACCTCCCTAACCCGAAATAGATTTATTTAGGTATAAATCTAAAAAAATGTGAATTATCTACATGAGGAAACCTACAAAATTCTGATAAAAATATATCAAAGAAGAACTGAATAAATAGCAAGAAATTCCATGTTCTTGGAGAGCAAGGCTCAATATTGTCAAGATGTCAATTCTTCCCAACCTGATCTATACATTTCATGTAATCCCAATCATAATTCAGCAAGATGTTATGGGCATATGCACAAACTCTTCCTAAAGTTTATATGGAGAGGCAAAAAATATAGACGTGCCAACACAGTATGGATGGGCAAGCACAAAACTACCCAACTTCAAGACTGATTCTCTAGCTAGAGTAATGAAGACAGTGTAGTATTAGTGAAAGAACAGGCAAATAGGTCAGTGGGACAGAATAGAGGGCAAGGGAATAAACCCATATAAATATAGTCAGCTGATCTTTGACAAAGGAGCAAAGGGAATGTGATGTATAAAATATATCACCTTTTCAACAAATAGTACAGGAACAACTGGACATTCACATGCAAAAAAAAAAAAGAATCTAGAATTAAATCAGAATGGATCATAGACCTAAATGTAAAATGTAAAACTACAAAATTCTTGAAGATAAGAGTAGGATTTTTTTTTTCCGGTACCAGGGATCAAACTCAGGACCTTGCACTTGCCAGGCAGGCGCATTGGCACTGAGCTAAATCCTTGGCCCTCAAAATTCTTGAAGATAACTTGGGAGAAAGTCTAGATGAGTGTGTGTTTGGCTGACCTGTTAGATACAACACCAAAGGCATGATCCATGAAAGAAAGAATTGATAAGTTGGACATCATTACAATTCAAAATTTCTGCTCTGTGAAAGACATTATATGAAGATAATGTAAAGGCAAATCACAGACTTGGACAAAATATTTGCAAAAGAAGACACGTCTGATAAAAGACTCAAAATGTACAAAGAACTCTTAAAATTCAATAATAAGAAAGCCAACAACCTTATTAAAAATGGACAGACATCTCACCAAAGACTATATACAGATGGCAAGAAACTCTCTGAGAAGATGCTCCACATCATATGTTGTCGGGGAAATGAGATCATATATGCCTGAACAGCCAAAATCCAGAACATGGATACCACCACATGCTAGTGAGGCTGTGGGGCAACAGAAACTCATTCCTTGCTAGTGGGAATGCAGAAAGGTACTGTCATTATGGAAGACAGTACGGCACTTTTTAAAAAGCAAAAAGTACTTTTAATCATATGATCTAGCAATGGCATTCTGATATTTATCCAAATGAATTAAAAAGTTATGTCCACACAAAATCTGCACATTAATGTTTATAATAGTTTTATCCACAGTTACCAGAACTTGAAAGCAACTAGTAAATGAACACATAAATACACTGTAGTACATCCAGATAATGGAATGTTATTCAGCACTAAAAATAAATAGTCTGGGGGTTCAGCTCAGTGGTAGAGTATGCCTTGCATGCACAAGACTCCAGATTCAATCCCCAACAGTGAAAGAAAGAAAGGAAGGAACGAAGGAAGGAAGGAACAAAAGAAGGAAGGAAGAAAGAAAGGGGGGAAAAAAGAAAGAGAACTGAAAAAAAGAAATAAACTATCAAGCCATATAAAGATATGGAGGAATATTAAACGCATATTAGGTGAAAAAAGGCAGTATGAAAAGGCTACATGTTGTATAGTTCCCAATTATATATGGAACACAACAAAAAACTGCAATATCAAAATAGGTTCACCAAGTAAACAAAATAGATTTATTTAGAAAATTTTCCAAAAGGCAAACTTCAAATTCAGATGGCTTTTCTGATAAATTCTACCAATTGGTTTATGCAGAAACAATATCAATTTATACAAACTTTTCCAGAGAAATAAAAAGAGGAAAAACTTTCTAGTTTGTCTTGTGGGGTCAGCATAACACTTTTAACCATAACCTTACAAAGACATTTCAAGAAAAGAAACTTACAGGAAAATTTCCCTCATGAGCAAAGATCTTTTAAAAGTTCAAAACTTAATGTGGGCAAAACCACTCTAATTATGTATAAATTTTTTTTATACAGGAAGTAGCCACTGTGGTAGATGACTCTAATCTCAGCACTCTGGGAGGGTGAAGCAGGAGGATTGTGAGTTTGAACTCAGGCCAGGCAACAGCAATTTAGTGAGGCCCTGTCTCAAAATAAGAAATAGAAAAGGCTGGGGATGTAGTTCGGGACAAAGCCCCTGGGTTCAATCCTCAGTACTCAAGAAACATCAGACATAAAATGCCACTGACAATAATCTTGAAATAGAAAATACATGAGAATACATTAATAAGAGATGTATAAGACTTCTACACTAAAAATTGTAAAGTGTTATACACAGAAATCAAATAAGTTCTATATAGAATGGGCATAAAAACAGGCACATCCACCAAGGTATAGAATAGAGAGATCAGAAATAAACCCACACATACATGTCAACTGATTTTTGACAAGAATACACAATGAAGAAAGGAAAAATCTCTTAATAAGTGGTGCCAGCAAAACTGCACACCCACACACAAAAGAAAATGAGCCACTCTTCTACATTGCACACAAAACATTAACTCCAAGTGGATTAAACACTTCTTAAATGTGAGATCTAAGATCATAAAACTCCTAGGGGAAAATACAGGAGAAAAGGTCCTTGACTGCCTGGCCTTGGCAATAATACTCTGGATATCATTCCAAAAGCACAGACAAGAAAAATAAAAATAGATAATGGGGGTGACATCAAAATAAACAGCATCTGCACAGCAAAGGAAACAACAAAGTAAAAAGACAAACTGAAGAACGGGAGAAAATATTTGTAAAGCATATATATGATGAGTTAATATTCAGACTATATCTATAAGGAAAAAATCCTCAATAACCAAAAAAATGACCTGATTTAAAAATGATCAATTGGGCTGGGGATTTAGCTCAGTGGTTCTGCCGCCTGCCTCGCTAGCACAAGGTCCCAAGTTCGATCCCCAGTACCAAAAAAAAAAACCATAAAATAAATTTAAAAATAAAAATCATCACTAGACCTAAGTGGATACTCCTAAGGAGAAAACCCACAAATGGCTTGCCAATATATTTTAAAATCCTCATCACTCATCATCAGTAAAATTCAAATCAAAATCACAATGAGATATCACTTCATCCCATTAAGGACAGCTAATCTCAAAAAAGCTAAAGATAACAAGTCCTCATCAGGCTGTGGAGAAAAGGGTACCCTCACACACTGTTGGTGGGAGTGTAAATTCATACAGTCATTATGAAAACCAGCCTGAAGTTTCCTCAAAACATTAAAAATAGAATTACCCTGTGACCTAGCAATCCCAGTCCTGAGTATGTATCTGAAGGAAATGAAATCAGTCTGTCAAAAAAACACCTGCACTCCATGTCTATTGCAGCACTATTCACAGTAGCCAAGATATGGAATCAAGCAAGGTGTACATTGACAGTTGGATGGGTGAGAAAAAATGTGGTGTGCACACACACACACACATGCAATTACATATATAAATTTACATCCTGATCTATATCGATGTGTGTATAGACACACACACACACACACACAGTGGAATATCATTCAGTCATAAAACGAGGGAAGTCCTGGGCTGGGGCTGTGGCTCAGCGGTACAGTAATTACCTAGCACGCACAGGATTCTGAGTTCAATCCCCAGCACCACAAGAAAAGGAAGTCCTATAACTTCCGACAACATGGGGTGAGCCTGATGGACATTATAAAAAGTGAGAGAAATCCAATAAAGTTTAACTACTGCATTGTCCCAGTTATTTATGGAATCTAAAACGTCAAACTTGTAGCACAGTAGTTGCCAGGGACTGGGGGGCAGTGAGGAAAGAGAGAGATGTTGGTGAAAGTTCCAAGCTGAGCAAGTTCGAGGGCTCTAACATGCTGTATGGGTGGTGATGAGCATGCTAATAAGCACTGCACAATGTATAGACATATCAAATCATCACATTACATACCTTAAATATATACAATCTTTACTTGTTAATTAAGTATTTTAAAATATCTATATAAATGGTAGGATATTTCTTGTTCATTGGTTGGAAAATTCAATATTGTAGAGATGTCAAACTTCACATATTGATCTACAAATATGGTACAACACTGCTCAAGTCACCAATACATCGAATATGTATCTCTGGAACCTGACCAGCTGACTCTAAAATTGACTCTAGAATAGGCAAGGCATTCCTGAAGAGCAGGCAGGAGGATCTCTTCCATAGGCTATCAGCACAGACAGTACAGTAATTAAGAGAGTGTAGTATCGGTTTAAGCTGTGCCCAGACTCGGACCCTGACATAGGAGGGCACTTCATTTGTGACCAACAGGGCACTGGAGAGCTGTGGGGACAGGGTGACCTCTGCATCACACGGTGCTGGGCCATGGACAGAAGTGACCCTTACCCCTGCTCTGCCACCAAGCACAGACTGACTCCAGGTGGTCAGTGGGAAAGGGGAACAATAAACTTCGCGTGCTTCTTCAGCTTTACCAGACCCATTTGGCTTCTGTTCACTCTTCTTGTTTTGTTCTTTGTTTTATGGTCCAAATCTAATTAGTTTTAAGTTTTGTTTGCATTCATGTAAAAGAACACAATCTAGCTGACTTGCATCTGTCTTCAAATTTCAAATTATTTCAATTACTTTGTTTTTAAATTGGAGACTTTGGATTCATTCTTTTTCTTACTCTATTATTTTACTGGGATTGTCAGAAGGAAGAAAAATGTGTAATAGCCAGATCACTGGGAACCTTGGAGGAGGTCTTTGCCAAAGTGACTTCTTTCTTCAGTCATAACAAGAGATTTGAAAATTAATTTGGATTTCTTATGCTTTCCATAATTCCTTTAAAACGTGGCCTTAGTAGGTGGTGGTGTGGAGGTGATTATATTTATATACATGGAGGGGGGATTTGTTTTCATGTCTGTCTTTCTGAAATTACTCAAAAGCCACACTGAGGCAGCTTCTGAAGGCCACAGAGACCTAAGTGGGAGGAAAGGGGTGGCAGGAGATAGAACTGGATTCAAAATTTCAAGTCAACCTCATGAAGATAAATGGCTTTACAGAAGGGGAGAAAGAGGTCTCCAGGAGGATGTGCCAATGGACAAAGCTGGGTCAGAATCCCCCTGATGGGGAGACTTGGTAAAAAGCCACATCACTAAGGTACAGCCAGGAACTGGGAAGAACATGCCAGGTAGGAAAAAGAGTGCAGCTGATGGGATTGTTGAGAAATAGAATGAGCTACGGTCTGCAGTCTCAGGCTCAAGATGAATATGAGAGGCTAAGAAGGGAGTCGGGCCAAGCTGACTCAGAAGGCATCACCTTCTGGGCGAAGTGCATCCTCTAGTGACTTCGAACCAACATTAGCAGCTCAGTGTCAGGCGAGGGGCCCACTGCATGGGCAAGGGAGCCAGGTCTTCAGCTTTTTACACCTTCAACAGCAACCTAAGTATCTCTCCCAGTGGCCAGGCGCAAAGGAGGGGTGGGTCCGCTTTCTGGCTGTGTACTTCCTGTAGGGACTCAGCCCCATCAGGAGGCTGCCCTGCTTGAAGAAGGAGCACTGAGCAAAGTCCTCATGTGGACACAAGGCATGAAGAGGAGCCAGGCAGGGGTCCTTGGCCAGGCTTCTCTCTGTGCCCAAATCACAGCACCTGACACTTACCTTTCCAGGCCCTAATGTGGTCTAAACCAGACAGAGAAATTCTCCTGGGCGCCAGGGTGCATTCTGGCCTCTTGCTGCCACTGTGCTCACTCCATGAGAGCTGTTCCTGTGGGCACTGTTCAGAGAGATGGCTTGGCTTAGGAGGGCGGGGGGGCGGAGGGTTGCACACCATGTCTAGTTCTTTTGCCCCGCAGGGCAAGGACACTTGGGTTTTATCTGCCTGAATGGTGGAATTCAAGGACGTTTCCAGCAATGATGAAGAAGACAAGTGGTCTCTGGATGGTCCATTGATTTCTCGATTCCAGATCCGAGCAGCCTGGGGTCTTATGGAAGGCACCTCGTGAGATCCATTCCCATGGCGTGAGGGGCAGACCAAGTTACTGGAGGGTAGTGGCTGCAGGCCATCCACAAAAGCATCATCAAACGAAGTCTGTTCCAATAAGCGGTCTGAGTTTGACCAGCTGTCACATCTGGTGGGAAGACTGAAGAAAGAAAAGCATGCAAGTTTTGCTGAAACGTAGCCATCTGTTCACCACAAAACCCATACTGGCCTCATTCCCATCCCTCCAACACTACCTTGGTTCTACTTGCAGAGCCACATTCCCTCTGCAACCCTCAGTTACACTAGCTCCTTTGTGTAGGAAAAAATGACTTACTGATATTTTTCATCATCTAAACATTAGATACATACATGAAAATGCAAGGTAAGAGATGAAAGCCACAATTCTGAGATACATGACTCATTCTGTTTAGTATGTTGCTTCATCTTTCATAGATGACAGTGATCTGTCCCCATCTTGGCAGTGGCAGGAAGACAGGTGAGGACACACCCACTAGAAAACACTCCCACTAAAACGGGTGTTGTGCTCATCTGAGAGAGAAGCCACAGGAAGAGGCAGTAAGGGTGCTGGAGACAGAGGCGTCATGCTAGAAGGCCCAGTCGGACAGTCCCCAGTCTAAGCATACCTGGCATGCTGCAGTCTTCCACTCTTGCAGTTGGACAGAACCAGATAGTCAGGAAGGAAGAGAAACTCTGACTCACTCCTGGTTTCTTCAGTGGCTATGGTATTGGTGTTTGTATCATCTCTTGGCACAGAGGAGCTGGTGGTGCGAAAGGAGCTAGCCGGGAGCGGCTGAAGGGAGGAGGGTGTATGAGTGGAGCTCTCCAGGGAATCTGCGGGAGAAATCATTTCCCAGGTTAGGGTTTTCGGAACAGCTGTAGCACTCACTCGGAATTTCTCAAACAGCATCTAAGAAGCCAAATAGAAGATGCAAATCACAGCTGCTGTTTGTACTGATGGAAGAGACCATTCCTCCAAGCTATAAACAATGTCTGGGAAAGAAGACCAACGTTCCAACTGTGAAGTGTTGAATCAATTAAGAGAAAAAAAAAAAAGCAAAGAAACATTCTTGGCCTAAAAATCTGTAGGTAGTCTATACAGTTTTTTTAATGGCCCTCAGCATCAGCCCTGGATTGGTATTTATTCACTCAACAAATATACACATATATGCACATATGTACTTATGCATAACAAGTCTATATGTATATACTGACATATGCACTTATACATAGATATATGTACACGTTGATACGTATGAGATGATTAAAATCCAGTATGTGTTTACACTTTAAAAATCTATTACAGTAAAAGACACATTGCCATGAATCCCCCTCAAAATCCTCCCTCACTTTAAACATGCTTATCCCACCATTCTTGCAATTTTCTGAAGCAGCTCTGGAAGCCCTCTTTCATGAGTCTCTTTAGTTGTGCTGTTGTGGTTGCCTCGATGTCATAAATCAATTCCAAATGTTTACCTTTCATGGTCATTTTGCTTTGGAAGAGCCAGAAGTTGTATAGTGCCAGATCTGGTGAATAAGGTGAAGGACAACACACCATGATGTTTTCACGAGCTGCCTTTCTGTTAGATGGCACTCAGCAGCAGTATTCGCCATATTTTTTTTTTACCACATCTCATAAAGACACTCAGGAAAGAGGACTCCAGAACTACTTCGGAAAGCAACCAGAACAATGAGATAAGTGTTTGATGTGAGGAGTCTTCTGAGGGAGGTTCATGGCATTTCTCCTTACTGTAATACATTTTTATTTAAACATTCCCATATATTTTGATCATCCCTTGTATGGCTACTTATGTCTATACAGAATATTACATCCATGGTGTGACCAGAACTGTTCTAATCCTGATGATGCAGCTGAGACAAAGACTCTGCCATTCCTGGTGTTATATCCTAGCAGAGGAGACAGACAAGGTAGAAATAAAGAATCCTGTTAATTATTGTCCTAAGTAAAGGGAAGCAAATAAGCAGGGTGTTTTGATGTCTGGAAGGGCCCATGTTTCTCAAGGAGTGTAACATTCATTCTCCTCACTGCCTGTGAACCAATGAAATTTCCAGGTCAGAAAAGGCCAATGAGAAGCCTCCTTTTATTTCTCCTTTGATCTCCATTGGTAGGGAAGGATTCCTCAGTCTGAGTGACCCCAAATTTCCTGGGTTCAAGTGCAGGGTCTACTACCCAGCCCTTGTGACCCTAAGCAAGTTCTCACATGTTTTTTTTTCAAGTTTCCTTCTCTGTAAAGTGGAGATAATAATAATAATACATATGTCATAGGCCCTGTATGGGAATAGGACCAGTTAATATGCAAAAGTATTTTAACAGAGCTCCTAACCAGGGTACATACAATGTGTTAACTACTCTATGCTGCTAGAGACACAACCTAACACAATACAGTTGTTCTTCCTTACCTACAGCTTTACTTTCTGCTGTTTGACTTACCTGCAGTCAACCTTGGTCTAAAAATATTAAGTTGAAAATTCCAGAACAATTCAGTAAACACTGCATAAGTTTTAAATTGCAGGTCATTCTGAGCAGTATGATGAAATCTCATGCCATCCATTGTGTGGTGCTGTGACATGAATCATCCCTTTGTCCGGCATATCCACATTGTGTATTCTACCTGCCTGTTAGTTGCTTGGTTATCAAATTAACTGTCATGGTATCACAGTGGTTGTTTTCAAGTAACTCTTATTTTGCTTTATAATGGCCCAAGAGTGCAAGACTGGTGATGCTAGCAACTTGGATATGCAAAAGCGAAGCTGAAAGGAGCTTCCCTTAAGTGAAAAGGAAAAAAGTTTTGACCTAATATGGAAAGAAAAAGTGTTATGCTTTGGTTGCTGGATTGGCAGTAAGAATGAATCTCCTGTCAAACTGTGGAGAAAGAAAAAGAAATCTGTATTAGTTTTGCTGTCAGACTGCAATAGGTATGGTCATGTTCACAGTGCTTAGTTAAGATGAAGAAGGCAAACATCATGTAGTATGTTTTGGGCTAACTCTTGGATAAGGAAAGAGACAGAGAAGACACATAACAGAATACACAAATATATATCTACTTTGGGCTGAAGGTAGGGAACAGGGTTGTGAAGAGCCAGCAGCAGGGTGGGAGGAGCCAGGGTGGACTTACTGTGACACTGCAAGTCAGCTTCATCTGTTGTCCCAAGAATAAAAGAATTTCAGATCATGTCATTTCCCTTTATTTGAGCGCCCTCAAAGCTCAGCAGTGTTGCTGAACAGCTTCACTTAATAAGCTTCCCTGTCATCAGGAAACACTCTGTGACCATCCTAGAGAGAGAAGCGACTGTGGGTGTACATCACCACCTAGTGTTACAGCATGGGTATTCCAGGGGCGGATGGAGAAAAACATACAGTAACTATTGGCTATAAACTACAGCATTTAGAGGTCAGATTTTTTTTCTGCTAGACTAAGAGGCCGAAAGAAACCACATGCAAAACCCTATATTTTGAGGATGCAAGCGTGGTGTGATAATGCCAATATTCAACAATATCAATGAAGGGAAGTGAACTGTAACCCCAAGGTTCTGAAGTACCTGGTATATTAGATGGGAAGGGCTGTGTGTGTGTGTAAAATAGAGAGAGAGAGAGAGAGAGAGAGAGACTGAGACTGAGACTGCTCCTGGGTCAGTTGCACCACTGCCCAGAAATAATGGTGCAGAGAAAACAGCTGATTTCTCCTGCGGAAACCTGCAGTGTTCTGTGTGTGTTTGGACATGAACCCTAGAACCGGGCAAAAGAGGAGCATTTGTCATGCTCCACTGTATTTGGTAGTAACAGCTACGGTATAAATTACCCTGCCCAAGTATCCTCAAGCTGGTAGGCTTGGCCCCTTTCACCACTTTCCCTCAGTAGCTTTCCAGTATGGGACAGCACACGGAAGTCCCACCCTACTCTTACCTGCAGCAGCCTCCAGGTGGCCCAGGTTGCACACCTGACTGATGCTGTGCACCCACACCTGCATTTCCTCCTCCGTCTTGGCCACCAGGTAGAAGGTGCGGGACGTGGTCTTGACAATAAACACGAAATTGTTCTGGAACTCCTTCCGAACGAAGCCAGGGCCCGCATGCTTCCACACAGCACACTCGCTGAGGTCTATCGCGCGAATGGGCTTGCTGGAGTGCTTGTTCCGGTAGTACTCCAAAACATCAGGGTTGCCACTCATGCGGCCTCGGCGGAGGACAAACCAGCGCTTGCGCCAGGCCTACAGAAGCAATCCAACAAGGAGTTATTGGACTAACTGCTCTTGTTTCTGAGGCTCTGCCAAGAACTTCTGTGGTGACAGGGACAACAGGAAAGAAGTGACTCAGCCATTCTAATGATAAGATACTTCACATGAAAGGACAGGTGCACCATCTGAGTCTGCTTTATCGTACGATTTCAAGGATGGGTCACTGCGGGGCAGTCGAGTGATGGGACTCACACCCTGTCCTTGTGCATTGAGGTGTTCCTTGCTCCTCACTGATAGCATATCCTTACTTTCTGCTCTGGTGACAGGGACAGCAGGGCTTTCTTCCATCAGAGACGCTCAGGGTCATAGCTGGCAAGGGCAAGTGGAGAGATTTGTAACTCTGTGGTTAACGCTCCCCTGCAGTGGTATGTGTGACAGCAGGAAGTGCAGGCTTCTGCCAGGAGGTATGGTGACCAATGGGACAGGAAGTCTTTGTATCTCTAGCTTCATTTATGCCTGACACTTTTATAAGCTCACCAGCTCTGAACAAGGGGCCAGGGGAAAGGGAAAAGCCACCATTTGGAGTGTTCTCAGCTTCTTTCCTGCTCAGACAACACGAGAACTGAGGCAGTAGAGAATCAAAGAAGTGCTGAAAAGAGCAAAAGTGAAAGTCAATTGTCACAAAAGACCCAAAGCATGTCTCAGAACAAGAAGCCCTTCCGGGGCTATGGTAACATGCAGCACGCAGGAGGGGGCCACCCTGCTGTGTTGAGGAAGGGGAACCCAGGCTTTTTTTGGCATATAAGGCTCTGAGGAAAGGGCTGGCCCTCGGGAGATGTACAAGCAAGGACTGATTAAATCCTTGTTTCTAAGACAGAAGAAATAACAGCATGTTTGCATGTTTGTGGGGATGACCTGGAAAGGAGAGAAAAACGATTAACTCCATAAATTCCTGTTGTAAAACTATGGCACTGGACAGGAGTGGAGCCACTAAAGATGAGGGAAGGTGCTCAAGTCTTGCTCTGAGCCTTGGAGCACAGGAGGTGGGGACGTGGGCCTTTGGCATTAGCTGGGCCAAAGACAGGATGGAAGAATGGCATGTGTGCCTGCTGAGAAAAGCTTCTACGGGGATCCTGGGGTACCCCAAACTTTCCAAAGGCCACTCTGGTGGGGAAATGTGAAGAGGAACTTTGTTGTACTTCCCAAAAGTGGTTCCAAAGAGGAACTCAAACTGAGCCCAGGAACAAGTTTCATGTTAACTGCTCTTAGAGCAAGAAGGAGAATGTTACAGATAAGTATGTGTTTCATTCAGTCAACTGTGACCTGTTTCAGAGCCCACTGATATGCTGGACACTGTGCAGTTGCTGGGGAGCCAAGCTGAGCAAGCCGCATGGCCTGCCACTCAGTCTTGTGGGCAGCAGGGGAAGTGGGCAGATGGATAAATAGACAATGGAAGTCAGTGAGATGAGTGCTATGATAAGGGAAAACCGAGATGCGAAGGGAACACACAAGGGGGAAGCCTCTGCCATCAGTGGTCTGGGGAGGCTTCCAGGAAGAAAGAGAAAGGAGCACACACTGGCACCAAGATGGCAAGGGCACAGCGCTTTGTGTAAATAGCTCAGTGGGGCTGCAAGGCACGTGTGAAGGAGGGCAGCAGGAAAAAAGAAGAGTCACGTGATAACTTGAATAGGATGTCACACAGCCTTGATGCTAAATCCTGCCAAATCACCAGCATGGTACTCTTTGCTAAGAAGGTCAAAGGCTCAGGTTCTTCAACAAATGTAAGACAAAGCTTCTGCACAAGAAACAAAGTGAAACAGCAGACTATGACTGCAAAAATATTTGCAAACCACATATCTGATAAGGGGCTATAGCCAAAATTTATATGGAACTATTACAACTCAAGTGCAGAAAAAATAACCTAAATTAAAATGGATAAAAGAGCTAGCTGAGCATGGCAGCGCATGCCCATGATCCTAGCACTTGAGAGACTAAGGTACGAGAGTCACCCAGCCTGGGCAGCTGAGTGAGTTCAAGGCCAGCCCGAGCTATATAGTGTGACCCTGTCTCAAAAGAAAAGTGAATAAAAGATCCGAACAGAAATTTCTACAAATAAGACATACAAATGGCTAACGGGTCATGGCAAAATGCTCAACATCACTAATCATCAAGGAAATGCAAATTAAAACCACAATAAGATATCATATCACCCCAGAGGGGATGGCTGTCATCAAAGACATGACAGAGGACAAGTGCTGTTAGAGAGGGTTCAGGGAAAAGGAACCCTTGTGTACTATTGGAGGGCATGTGCGTTGATGCAGCCGCTATGGAAAACAGTGTGGAATGACTTCAAAAAATTAAAACTAGAACCACCATATGACCTAGCAATCCCTCTTTGGGTAGATATCCAAAGCAATCAGCCTATATGCCCAACAATAGATGAATGGATGGAGAAAATGTGTTATATTTACACAATAAATTACTGGTCTGCCATAAACATGGATCAACTGAGTCATCTGCAGGAAAATGGATGCACCTTGAGACCGTAATGTTAAGTGAAATAAATCAGACTCACAGGCTTCAGTATTGCACGGTTTCTCTTCTATGAGACACCCAAATCATAAAGGAGATAGAGCTTTTGTAAATGGCAAGGGAACCCAGAGCTGGAGGGAGGGAAGAACAGGATGAAGAAAGCACTAAGATGTGTCGTGTCCGTGCACCGACTCCCCACTGGGAACGTGACCGTTACGTACTGCAAACCTGGGCTGCCGAAAATAAAAACGGTTTTAATAACACAGCAAATGAACTCAGTATGAGGAAGAGACACCTGCACTCTCATTTTCTGCCCAGCATCATTCCCAACAGCCAAAGTGTGGGGAATGGAGATGTGGTGAATGTGCACCATGGAACAACGCTGATCTTTACAAAGAAGGCATCGCCTCACTTTCCACAACCTGGGGAACACTGTTCCAGCTGAAATCAGCCAGGCCCAAGAAGAAAACATATTTTAGGATCTCGCTTACACATGGAATCTTTTTTAAAAAAGTCAAACACACAGAGATAATGAGAGTGGGTATCAAGGGCGAGGCTTTAGAGGAAATGGAGAGATGTAGGTCAGAGGATACAAAGTACTAGATAGTCCCGAGATCTGTAGTTTAAAAGTTTGACTGCATTAAGGATTTTTGGTAAATAAGTAGATTTTAGGTTTTCTTATCACAAACAAGTAACTATGTGAGGCAATACATAGGGTAATATGCCTTAGTATGGTAACCACTTTGTGTCATAGTATCATGTAAACTTCAAATATGCACAGTTAAATTTATTTTAAGAAAGAAGCCAGGTATGATGGCTCATGCTTGCAATCCCAGCACTCTGGAGGCTGAGGTAGGAGGATCCATGGGAGTTCAAGGCCAGCCTGAGCTACATAGTGAGACCCTGTCTCAAAAAATGAATAATAATAAGAATTATAAGAAGAAGAAGAACGACAACAATAATGAATAAAAAGAAGGGCTGGGCACGGTGGCACACTCCCATAATCCCAGATACTTGGGAGACTGGGGTTTCAGGGTTACTAATTTCAAGCAGCCAGCCTGGGCAACTCAGTGAGACCGTTTCTCAAAATAAAAATTGTGAAAAAGAGCTGGGAGCATAGCTCAATACTCACTGAGTTCCATCCCTGGTACCACAGGCAAAGAGAAAGAAAAAAAAAGAAAGAAAGAAAGCAAAGAAAAAAAAATAACAGGACAGAGGGGGAATCTATGGATTATATGAGACTTAAAAGGTACATAAAATTTTTTAAATGTGCCTAGGAGATGCTCATTTCAGTGATTAAAAACATAAAGGATGCAAAGAAGAGATCTCTAGAGAAGTCAGGAGAAAGGGGATCTATTTTTCAACTGGTTGCTGGTTATAAGGGAGTAATAATAATTCATTACATGAGATCTTATTTGATGTAATCTGCAGTATTTGTGTCATCTGGTTTCATCTCGTCCTCCTCCTCCCGCCGCCCTCCCTCTCTTTCCACTAGAGATTGAACCCAGGGTCTTGCACTGAGCTGCACCCTTAGCCCCCACCCCCTTTTTTTTTCTTTTGAGACAGGGTCTTCCTAAGTTGCCCAGGCTGCGATCAAACTTTCGATCCTCCTGCCTCAGCCTCCCAGAGTGCTGGGATTTTAGACATGCACCACTATTCCCAGTCTTTTCTGGTAAAAAAAAGAGTGCTGTTGGAAGGTCCTGAGCAGCCTGAGAAACCAAGTTGCCAAATGACAGAAGTGAAGCTGAGCCTGGGTCAAGTGAATCGCGAAAGCATAATCACTGTGCAAACGAGTGGCTGCAACTACAACTCACAGAAACTGAGCACAAAAGGAAGGTTAGGGAGCATCCATTTGAGATTTGAAACCTCCTCCGACTTTCTGTGTGACTTGGAGCAAGCAACTGGACTTCTGCGAACCTCAGTCCCATCATCTGTAAGTGGAGATAAACCGTGATGTAACTGTGGTGAACAAATGGGAAACAGACAGCAAAATATTATGCCAGTACCTGGCACCTTGCAAGTAGCTTCTAAACTCACAACACGATTGTTGGCACTCAGGGTACACGACACTGCTTGCCCTGGGGAAACTGCTTCTCCTCGTCTGCAGCCCACATCCCCACTGTGCACGATGAGGAGCTCTGAGGGCTTTTCCAGCGCTGAGCAGCACAGGATCTGTTCCCACCAGCCTTTCCTGTCACAGCCACCAGGCTGACTCATTACCACCCCACCAGGATCATCTCCAACAACAAAAACCTGTCACATCCTGTAACCTTGTGGAAAAGCACTTGTGCTCATTTCTAGAATCTGAACGAGGCCAAAGTGAGCTCCTCTAGGAAGGAGCGACTGGGTCACAGGCCTGTTCATTTTCATTGAACCCCTTCTGCCTGGCACTAAATGCTATGCATGGCTCTCCTCTTCGCACAGTCCAGCTTGCTGATTTCGGTTTAGGAACACCTCCTACTTTGTCTCTGAAGGGAGAGAGACACATCAGGGACACGGAG